ACCACATTCCAACAGACGTGGAGCGGATCGACGCTTGCTGACCATTCCCATACTGCGATCCACGTGCGATCATCGATGATGGACCGCTAGTTCAGGCAGACGCTGTGTGTAAGACGAGGGCCAGAGAAAGGTGCGCCGCCTGCAGTGGTGTGACTAAAGAGGAGTGAGCGCCGTCGTCATGGGAAGGGCGCGCTGAGCTGTATATCTCGACCGATGTTTCTCATCTTTCAGTTTTCCCTTGGTGTCATCCCCGCATTGGAATGCCCTCTCGGAGACAATTCGCAGACTTTTACGACGATTTGCTCACTTGATTTGCGGGATTGACTGCGTGGCTTGGCCATCTGGATTACGTCTCTAAGTCTCTTCTCGTTGCGCGCAACTTGATTCTTCCACCATCGTGCGAAAACATCTGTCGGTACAAGCAAAGCATCGCCATTCCCACCCAAAGTCTCCCTACCAACGACATTCAAGCACAAAAAACCCTCAAAAGACAAGCAAAAAAGAAAGGAAAAAAAAAAATGTCTGCCCCGGCAGCCCAACCCACCCTCACAACCCTCACGGGCTCCTGCCACTGCCGCGCAACCCGCTACGTCCTCCGCCTCGCCCTCCCCCTGACCGCCCACCCTGTGACGCCCGCGCAGCGCAACTCCCCGGCCGACAAGCCGTGCGTCTACCGCTGCAACTGCACCGTCTGCCACAAGGCCGGGCTGCTGCACGTGCGGCCGCGTTGCCGCCCGACGACTTTGCGCTGCCTCGCGCCGCGGGAACTCGGCGCGCTGGGCGCGTACCAGCCGCGCGGGCCGGGCGAGGCCCATACCTCCTTCTTCTTCTGCCGGACGTGCGGCATGCGGTGCTTTTCGTTCAAAGGCCAGGGGGAGGTCGTGGCTGTTGACGGGGCCGAGGTTGGCATGGAGGGGGACGGGGCGGTTGAGGTGTGGCGGCCGAAGAAGAGTACCTGGACGACGGAGGGGAAGGCCAAGTCCTATCTCAGCGTGAATGGCCAGTCGATCGATTGGGGGCAGGAGGGCGCTGATCTGAGGGTCTGGTGGGAGGAGGGCAAGATTCTGTATCTGGATTGTCTTGAGGCGGGGCCGGATGGGAGGGAGAGGCCGAGGTATGAGAGGCCGCACGAGGGAGGGTGTTACTAGGCTTTGGCTTACCAGCCTTGTCAAACATCCGACCCGGCCTCGTTTCATGCTGTGGTGTAGGGTATCAACTGGTTCGTGCAGCACTGCGAGCTACGGCATTCACACGCAAATCGAATCTCGAATCATACCCATCAAACGTGGCTATCAAGGCAAAGAAACGAGACAAAGTCTCTCGCCGGTCTCCCACCTTCTCTCGCCTTGAGTCGAGGGGTAAAAAGGTTTAACAGAGATAGCATAGTAGAAAGTATCATTCAAAACGCTAGGCCGCCTCTCAAACAGTATACCTAAAGTCAGGGTGCCCCTGCAGGACTTTCTCTCCCCTATCTGCCTTGGCATTTTCCCGCTTAAAGTACCACGTGTTGAAGCAGATGACGAACAGCACCAAGAAGCCACAGGCAATCGACCCAATGATACCGGGACGGTACCCGGGCGCGTCTTGGCTGCGGAACATGAGGGAACCCGCGACACCGCCGACACCGCCCGAGCCGATGAGGGTCGCGGAGCCAAAGGCACGCTTCCACTGGCCGCGGATATTGTTGGACTGAGAACGATGAGTACCCCTGAGAGAACCAGTCCTGGGAGTTGAGACGTACCTGGTAGGTCATGCAAGCGGGAATGTTGGTGTTGAAGCCGCAGCAGATGAGGAAGACGCCAAAGTAGGCGGCGCCGCTGTTGGACGCGAAGCCCTGTAATCATTAGTCTTGCCATTAAACGCGCATGACCCGAAGCAGACCTACCATCAAAGCCAAACCAGCAATGCCGACAACCGAGTTGAACATCATGACTGGGCCGCGGATGCGGTACTTGTCGCTGATCCAGGCCGTGGCAAACATGTACAGACAGGCCACAAAGTAGGGAGGCGCGATGAGGCACTGAGACGCAGCGAGCGAGAAGCCCATCTGGTCGCGGAGGATCATGGGGAGGAAGTACGCCACGGCGTAGGTGATGGCAGTCAAGCCGCTGAGCACCCTTCTGTCAGTACTCTGCGTGGTAGGAAGTCAAAGGCGGGGGGGGCTTACAAGAAGATTAGGGCGTAGCCATAAATGAGAGGATCTTTTCCGGACGCAATCAGCTTGCGGAAGTCCCATGCCTCTTCGTCGGCGTCACTGCGATCGGCGTTGATTTTGTCCATGACAATCTCGCACTCTTCCTTGGTCAGGAACTTTGACTTGCTGTGGGCGCGATCGGGAAAGTCGACAATGGTGAAATAGCAGATGGTGGCAACGACAACAGTGATCTGGGTTGATTAGCTGGGCGCTCTACACATGAAGGTCGAAAATGATACTCACAAGGCCCTCCATCAGGAAGATCCATCTCCAGCCTTCAAGACCGCCGAGTCCATCCTGAAGACGTCAGTTCTGCTTTGCACTTGTAGCTTCGTGTCAACTCACCATCTGCATGAGGCCATAGGCCAGAATGCCACCCATGCCCGACGAAAAGAAGCCGATCATATAGAAGCATGAGATGCGCTTCTGCAGATCATATCGTGTATACCAGGTCGAGATGAGAAAAAGACAGGCAGGAAGGAACCCAGCTTCGAGCAAGCCGAGGATGATACGAAGTCCAACCATTGTCTGCCAATTCTGAGGGAACCCGAAACCAACCTAGCCATCTTCTTAGCCATCAACGCATCTCAGTAGTCAATTGACAAAGCAAGCCATACCAGCAGAAAGCCCCATGCCAGTGTGATGCCAGGCAGGAAGAGCTTGGCGCCGATCTTTCGACAGGCGACCGTGGCCGGAAGCTGGAACAACGTGAACGTAATAAAAAATACGAGAGCAATGAGTGACTGCTGCTGTCAGTATCTATCGTGAAAAGATCGGACGGCGGTCAACCTACGTAGCGGTAGCCAACTGTCAGCTCCAGGGTCTTCGACTTGTTGTTATTGTTTTTTGAGCCTAGATTCGTCCGGTCGACGAGACTGACACAGTACATGAAGCCGCATGTCGTGATCAACCTTCGATCAATCTTGTGCACCAGTTTGCGGTAGGCAGCGTGAGTGAGAGGACCCTCGACTTGGCCCGTGATGCCCTCCTCCTTTGCGGAGGCCTGCTCGAAGGCCATGGGATCCTTGGCAGCCATGCCGTCGGCGTGGTGCATGTCGGGCTACAGGACAGTTGACAATGAGTCGAACGATAGGATGTCGTGACTCAAGGAGGCTCGAACGTGCTTCGTCTGGGGAACCGGGCGATGGGAAGTTTTTCAAGAATGGAGTCGACCACCGCTCTTTGTGGGGGAGGAGTGGAGCAAACAAGACACAGTCGGTGGTAACACGGGAGCGGACCTTGATTGAGGCGAAGGATTGTCGTATTTATGGCCTCATCAACATGACCGCAACAGTGCATAGCAAGTGCTGTGCACAAAAGGGATGCGGTCTCAAGGCTGTCGAAGCCGTTCGTGGGGCAGATAACGTGGAAGGTGGGCTGCTGTAGGCATGGGTCGCGTGCCAGGATGTCGGTAGTGATCATGACGGAGTTTTTGAAGATCGGTTTCCCCGTTGGGAAGGCTTTCATCGGTCGGCCGAGAGCGGAGAGGATGGGCGTCCGCGATTCATGATCCCGTCGGCCAGATGCCCGCTGTTTTGTGCGGCCGGCTCGAGTTGGGAGGCCAAAGTAAAGTCCAAGATATTTCGTTATCTCGAGTTGTAGATTGCTGTCCTTTGACGAGTCCATAGAGCAGTTGGCGATTTATCTTCTGTTCGCTATCCCGTATCTGAGCCGCCTGATTACGACGACTCACCGACTACGCATAACCAGTGCAACTCAGATCCCCATCCCGCTCACAGGAGCATGTGCAACTCAGCCAAGTCGTGTCAGGCTGCGAATTATCCGTTATGACGATACTTGACTGCAACTACGATCCCGGCTCAAGGCTAACATTGTGTTGGCCTCGTGCTACCCCGTGGGGGACAGACAGGGTATCGATTTCCCCGCGTTCAAAGATGCAAGATGAGACGGAGTATTGGGAAAACGTCCACTGAAGCCAGGTGCTATTATGTAATATGAACCCAAAATGCAACCGTGGTTTCCAAGCTTGGCTTTCAGAGGTACCAGGGGTTCGTCGTCTCAATGCTGTCTGACAGGTGTCTGGCTCTTCTGACCTTGTCCATCTGCAACGCGTTGACCTTTGTCTTGTCAGGATACGGGCGTCGTCATAGGGTATGGCTGATACGCAGGTCGTAATTGTTACTTCTCTGGGCCCATATCGTGTTCTTGCAGAGATAATAAAACCATGTCGGCGACGTGCTGCACACTTGTGCAGATCGCCCCATCGCAAGAGGGATAAATGGCTGGCGATAGGGTGCCGACTCATGTCAATAGCGTAGAAAATGCCCGACCAAACACGGGTCTGGGTGACCTACCGCGGCTCCCACGGCGGACGACATGATCACTTGCTGCATCCGGTAAGCAATCAAGTTCCCCGCAGTCTGGGATCCAACGAGCCTCGGGGGTCTATCCGAAGGCCTAAATGCACGGCCAGCCCCTGATCCGTGGGCACATTGAGCCCATCTGCCTTCTTCCCAAACAAGCAACCTACCTACGAGCGAGCCTCACCCCATCACGTCAAGTCATACATCCATTTTCGGACCATTTTTACAAGCACTTGCATGATCAGGCACTTTTACGAGAAGTCGCGGCAGAAATGGAAGAATCAAAGCCCCGCGGAAAGCCACGAGGCATGCGGCGGGACCGCGATTGTCGTGCCTGCAAGACGAGGGGCATCAAATGTGACCTCAATCGACCCAGATGCCAGCCCTGTGTCGCCTCGGAATTGCCCTGTGGTGGGTATCCGCAGCGCGTCGTCTGGGCGGACAAGACATCGCCAACCAGCATCGCTGCATCCACGAAGCCGAAACGTAGGAAATCGGACACCCGAACAGTCACCAGCCGAACGCCAGCGGCACGCCCGGCTGTTGTTGCCGTGATCGCCGACCGAACGGCAGGTAAACACGTAGGCCCGGTCCATGGGGAGAAGGAGAGTACAGCGGGGCCAGATCACTACAGCCTCATCAAGCGACTCTCCTCATTCTGCCGGCACATCGAGGCGCTCGAGGGCAGCGGCGGTGCGCGGCGGCAGCTGTCAGAAGCTACAACGACACGGCTCGTCTCACGCATCAACGACCTTGTGCAGGCCCGCATGGGGGCGGCGCCGATGCAGGCGACGCCAAGCAGAGCGGCTGGGCCGCTCGACTACATCGCTGCCCTCATGGATCTCAGCGAGGCGCTCGAGACAGCGAATCCCGTGGCATTCGTTGGCATCGCGGCCTTTGCTTTTTTTGAGGTCTGTGAGGGAGCCTTTGGCGAGTGGCAGCGTCATCTCTACGGCGCGAGGTCGCTGCTCGACCTCCACTGCCGGACGACGGGCGAGCTTGAGGTGCTGGCACGGGACGTCACAGGCCTGTCAGAGATGGTGTCGCACCTTCTGTGGTTTGATGTCATGGGTGCTATCATCCGGGGCACGACGGGGTTAATATTCGAGGACTGGCACCGTGAGACGCTGAATGCTGGTGGCTTCTTTGACATTGTCGGGTGTCCGGCGTCCACGTTCCATGTTTTTACTCATGTCGCCGTGGGAGGCGTCAACACTGACCCCATGGGTAGTTGTCTTTTGGTCATGGACTCACTCTTGCAACTCGAGGGGTGTGATACGGACGTTGCGAGAACAGCGGATGCCTATCGGTGCGCGGCCGCGATTGCGGTGCTTGGGCGACTTGAAGACGTCGAGACGAGGTTGCCGCCGCCGGGAATGGAGACAGCGATGGCGAAAGCTGTGGATCGACTTTGTCACGTTATGGAGATGATGCCGGTGTCGTCGAGATACTATCTGCATCTCGCAGTCGCGGTCTTCCTCGCAGACATGAGGGTGATGAGACGTGAGCAGTGCGATATCGTGCGGCGTTACTGGCAAAACTGTCGCGCTGCCGAGTTCCCGCGGTACCCAGACGCCGAGATGAGGTGTGAGGCACACTGGCGAGCAATGGGCCTGCTGTAATGATGTGCAAGAATGTGCCAAAAGGGTGTGGTGTGTTGGGTGTTGGGTGGTAGTTGGAGACCGAGGAATGTAGATTAGCTTCCTTTTTAGGAAAGGAATCTATTCCCCTCCCTCAACACCCCCGCGAGTCAAGGGGGCCATGGCATATTTCCGCGTCATTGACTGCCCCTAAAGTCCCACCCGCCCCCCCGCGGCTTGGAGATCCGGGGGGGGGTGGAGGCTCGACGTTATCAGTTCCGCCATGAGCATGATAGGTTTCCGACATCGGTTTGACTGAAGGTGGACATGCGTTTATTCCCTTTGCGGTACCCTACCTAGCCATTGTACCGTCTTGCGAAGATATCTTGCCTTATTATATTTTGAGCTAAGGCAGGCGATCCAGACTAGGAAGCTCGTCGGTCACGTCACGTTTTCTTCCGCGACTTATAAGCTCCACGCAAGCCACATTCTCTTCGCGACAAAAGCATTGTTGAACACTCAGGACTTGATGATTACCAAGAAAGATAGGCAAAACACCATGATGCAATTACAGCAAACGTCGGACCCTGCGCCGGAAACCTACCTCGACCGCGCTGCAGCCAAGCGCGCCCACCAACTCGCCCAGATCCCCGCCGAATGGCGCCTCGCCTCGATCCCCTCTGTATCCTCGGCCCCCTCGGCCCTGGCTTACATCCGCTCACACGGCCTTCTAACGACCGAGGAGCTACACATCACAGAGACCTGCGATGCTGCCGTGCTGCTGCACAAGCTGGCGCGCGGGGAGCTATCATCCCTACAAGTCGTGCGGGCCTTTGCCAAGCGCGCTGCCATCGCCCACCAACTCACGATATGTTGCACTGAAATCCTCTTCGACGAAGCCTTTGCCGAAGCTCAGAGGTTGGATGATGTGCTGGCACGCACAGGAAAGACTGTTGGTCCGCTGCACGGACTGCCCGTCAGCATTAAGGACTGTCTCGACATCAAGGGCAAGGACTCGACCGTCGGTAAGTGCCCCGAGAGCTGGCGGCTCGAAGACAAACGCACATTTAGCTGAACGGCATCACAGGCTGGGTCGGGCTCGTCGACAAGCCGGCCGCCAGGGACTCCAACACAGCGCAAGTGCTGCGAAGACTGGGTGCCGTCTTTTACGTCAAGACCAACGTGCCGCAGTCCATGATGATGTCCGACTCATACAACCACGTTTGGGGCCAGTGTGTCGGCGCCCTCAACCGGAACCTCATCTCCGGAGGTAGCAGCGGCGGCGAGTCGTCACTCATCTCGGCGCGCGGCAGCATCCTCGGCGTCGGCACGGACATTGGCGGGTCCATTAGAATCCCAGCGGCGCTGACGGGCTTGTACGGACTCTCTCCGACTCTGTCGAGGCACACATACGAGCGCGGAGGGTAAGGCCCATGGTCTTTTTCGTATCGGTACATTAATTGACATGCCTCAAACAGCCCCCGCCAACACATCGTCCGTCCCGTCGCAGGTCCTCTTGCAAGCACCCTTTCCGGCATCGAGACTTACATGAAGGCCTTCCAAGAGGGCGAACCGTGGAAGGTCGACTCCCAGGTCGCACCTATTCCTTGGCGTTCAGAATGCTGCGTGATCCCGTCGACCAAGAGGCTGCGTATCGGCTACATCATTGACGACGGTGTCGTGAAGACGCAGCCGCCAGTAGAGCGCGCCATGCAGGAGACAATTGCTGCGCTGAAAGCTGCCGGTCACGAAGGTGCGTTTCTCTGGTTTGTTCGAGCAATCCTCAAACTGACGATAGTGAAGTGATCGAATGGGATGCCTCATCCCACGCACGTGCGTACGACCTTTGGGAGAAAGCCATTCTCTCAGACGGCGGACTAGCGTGCAAGAAACTATGCGACATGTCAGGCGAGCCATTAATCGAAGGCATGCTTGTGGGAAAGCCAGAGAACCTGTTGACGACGGCGCAGACTCATGAGGTATGTTGAGAGGACGTGTTCTCCTTGACCAAGACTGATTCATCTGCTGATGGTGTGTGTGCAGCTGCTCGCCGACAGGTACGAATATGAGACGGAATACCTGCGCCGCTGGCAAGAAGCCGAGATGGACGCATTGATCATGCCCGTTGTTCCCTGGGTTGGCTACAAGCCGTGGACGTGGGTCAAATCGAGCCAGTACGTCGGATATACAAGTATTTGGAACCTCGTGGACTGGGCGGCGCTGGCTCTTCCCGTGACAACAGCCTCAAGAGAAAAAGATGGCGACGGAACGGCGGGATGGAAGGCGCATCAACCAAGGAACAAGGCGGACGAGTTCAACAAGTCGCAGTGTGAGCATGTCCCACCAAACGCCGACTATGCGTGATGCTAATCAGAGTGCAGATGACATTAACTTGGTGGATGGCATACCTGTCGGTATCCAAGTCGTATGTGGGAAATACGAGGACGAGAAATGTGTAGCGGTTGGCAAGGTGATCCAAGAGCAGCTGCGGAAGGGGGCCGAAAAAGAGTCTCGGCTGTAGATGGTAATGTTTGATGTCGTCACATGCATGGTAGTGGGCAAGGTGTTCGCTGGCCGAACTAATTGGAGCTCTCATTGTTATTCGTTCTTCAAGAACATCTGCATTGTGGTCTGGATGAACACAAGCCTCAGTGTCACGCCCTATATCGATGAGGAATGCTTAAAATGCCAACACGTCACGTTTACCAAGCGCGGGCCCTAGCTTTTCGAGAGTGAATTGTTGTGGACAAACACGATCACCTTGATTTTTGCCTTTTGTATTTCACTCACAAATCAAAAGGCCTGACGAGTTGCGAATTTCGAATGGACGTTCTGATTCCATCAAAGGGCAGCTCATACAATCGTAACAAGAAGACATGTGGCTGAAGTTGACGGGATAGTTCATACGACGGTACTCGAACTCGACTCCTGTGTTCTCGGACTGTAACGGGATATATCTCAATGCTTCGTCTCCGTCAGCGTATTTGGGCATTTAGTCGTAGACTCAGAGGAATCCAATCCGATACTGTGAATCATCAGACTTGCAAGCCCGTTGTAACTTTAGAGCTCTAGACAATATCGACAGGAACGGATTCACCTCGTTATTGAAAGCAGCAGAAAAATAGACAAAACAGACATTAAGTAGATAAAGCCAACTGTCATGGCGAGATATGTCTACAGGGGCATCAATCTATCGCCCCCCGCTCATTGACCCCTAAATACAAGGACGATTCGCCTCGTCCAGATGCGCCATTGTTGGTCCCGTTTTCTTTAGAATATTTGAAGAGAGAAGAAAAAAAGAAATCACATCCTTCAGGTGAGAAGCTTCTTGTTGATGTAGAGACTGAGCCTTGACCCGGCACCGCAGTAGGCGTTCTTGTCGCCAGGGCACGTCATCTTGCAGTCGGTGTCGGTGACATTCTTGCCCGGGGTGGCGCCCGTGTTGCCGGCAAAATTGAGGGTATTGCCGCACCAGCACTCACGGCCATACTGGACGCCGGCGTAGCCATAGTCCCAGCAGCGCTCGGCGCAGGCCTTGGTGGTCATGTTGACGCCGTCGTTGAAGACCTGCTTGGTGAGAAGGCGGCCCTTGGACGGTTCTGAAACGCAAGCGTAGTAGGTGAAGTTGCTGTTACCCTGCCAAATGATGGGACCGGTGGGAGTGGGAGTGGCTGTCGAGGTGGTGCGTGTGGTTGTAGGAGCGACAGAGGTAGTACTGGTCGTAGTGGGAGCAACACTGGTCGTGCTAGTCGTGGTGGGAGCAACACTGGTCGTGCTGGTGGTAGTGGGCACCGCAGAACTGGTGCTTGACGTAGTGACAGCAGAAGCGGTGGTACTCGTCGTAGTCCCGGCAGCAGAAGTGGTACTCGACGTAGGCGCAACAGACGTGGTCGAAGTCGTCACGGTGGAAGCCGCGGCAGACGTTGTCGCAGTCAGGGTCGAGCTCGAGGCAGTAGTTCCCGCGGCGATGGGCGCATCACCGAGCTTGTACAGCTGCAGCCTGACGCCGGCGCCGCAGAAGGTCATCTTGTCACCAGGGCACAGGAACGAGCAATCGTCCTGGTTGTCGGCCTTCTTCACGGTGGCATCGCGGAGGGCATCGCCGCAGTAGCACTCGCGGCCGTACTCGACGCCAAAGTAGGTGCTGCCGGCACAGAAGTCGGCGCACATCTCGAGCGTCATAAGGTCGTCGGCCATGGTCGATTTCTCGAGGGCGCGGCCGTTGTCGGCCTCGGTGTAGCAGCCCTGGAAGTTGTAGCGTGAGCGGACGACCTGGCGGATCGCGGGCGTGGTGGAAGTTGGCGTCGCCGAGGCGGTGGTCGTGGTCGTCGGGGGTGCGGAAGAGGCGGCGGCCGATGTGGTAGTCGAACTGGTAGCAGTCGTCATGGCAGCAGAAGTGGTAGAAGTGGTAGCAGCAGCAGATGTCGTCGAAGTCACGGCGGTAGAGGTCGCAACGCCAAGTTTGTACAGCTGCAGACGATCGCCGGCACCACAGTAGGTGTTCTTATCGCCAGGGCACAGGAACGAGCAGTCCTTCTGGTTCGTGGCCGGGACACTGCCGTCACGGAGGGAATCACCACAGTAGCAC